GACAGGACATCCGGGCGCAGAGGTGAGGAGAGAACAGGGAGGACGCAAGGCCACGGACAGCCAGACAAGGAGGCCAGCGCTGCGTGGCACCGGGCGTCTGAGGGTCTGACAAACGGACGATCTGACTCCTAGGCACGGAGAGCAGCCTGGAGGCTCCGGCGGGGGAGAGGGGGGGCCGGGGAGGCTGTGAACAGGCGGTACTCCTAGCGGGGAGATGGGGGAGGCCTGGGTCTGCGGTCCAGCAGCCAGTGCCGCTGCCCACGCTGTGCTGGGTGTGGGGACGGCCGTGTTCCCACCAGAAGGAAAGGACACAAGTGACCGGGAGGGGGGGCGGGTGTGGGTAGCTAACCAGATGGGGGATCCATGCAGGATGCAACTTGTACCAGAGCGTTTGCTACGTTAAACATCAGACACTTTTTTTTGGTCAATTATTCCTCAATAAAGCTGGAAAAATAAACTTGAAAAATGATATATGAGTTACGAGAAAGAGAGCAGCGGAATCGTCACCCCTCAGCTGCCCCTGCCCCGACCTGGTGCCTGTGGGAACGTCAGCACGAACCCTGACGCCCAGGCACCCCGGGGAGGAGGGGGCCCCCAGGAGTTCCCTCTCTCAGGGTGGACTTAGTGTCCTGTGTCCACATTCTGTTTTGTTGGTGACCTTTGCCTGGAGGAGCACTGTGGGAGGTCTTCCCGGGGGTGTCCCCTGCCGCGAGGCGTGAGGTCGGAGGCAGACCTCGGGGGCTCCTGCCCCTGCCCCCTGCCCCCTGCCCAGCGGCCCGGCCTCCGGTGCGGCTCAGACAGAGGAAAGCGAGGCCTCCGCAGAGGCTGTGAGCGTCTACACTCCTCCCCACAGGCCACCTTACGCAGACTCGGCGCCTTCACCTCAGTCAGGATAGACTTGAATGGCTTGTGACGGGAGTAAAGGGTGGGGGGTGGCTGGGCATGGCCGGCCTGGCTCAGTGATTGAGCACCCACCTATGAACCAGGAGGTCACGGTTCGACCCCCAGTGTGGGGCGTGCAGGAGGCAGTTGATCAATAATACTCTCTCATCATTGATGTTTCCATCCCCCTCTCCTTTCCTCTCTGAAATAAATTAAAAATATTATTTTAAAAAAGGGACAAACCAAGATCCAGCTTTGAGGATGTTCAGCCTTAATTCCTTCCAGTTTCAGGACAAAAGGACAAGCAGTGCCCAGCCTGTCCCACCACCTGCCCCCGATGCGCCCCCAGACAACACGTGGGCCTGGTTATCCCGCAGGATGGGAAGCCGGCGGTTACTGCAAATGAAGAGAGTACCCCGCTTTCCAGACACGTCTGTGTGTTTACGGACTAGTGATCTTACTACTGGAATTCCGCAGGCTGGCTTCCCGTCGGAGGACAGCAGGAGCGCCGACCCGCTCTCGTCCCTGTTCAAACGCAGGCGCGTGCCTCCATCTACGCTTCAGAGACTCCAATTTTCCCAACTGAATAAGCCCCACCCTGACTGAGGGAAATTCCACATGTATCCACTCAGAGGGGCAAAGCCTGAAACAAAAGCTTTCTGAGGAATCTGAACCCGAGTCCCATTTTACACTCTGTGTGCGCATGCATGTGTGCCTGTATGTGTGTATGTGTGTGTGTGTGTGTGTGCGCGTGTGTCGGGACGAAACGTTTCCCTTTGTGAGTTTTGTGTCGAGAGCCGAGGCTGGCGCTGTGGCCATATGGGAGCGATCCATGGGGCGGGTCCAGGGCCAGCTGCGTACACTCCCTGCTTCATGGCACAGCTCACACTATTCGTGGTGTTGGGAGAGGCCAGCAAAGCAGACCCAGGAAGCCCTGCTGCCCATGTGCTGACCACTGCACACGGGGTCCCTGCCCCCGACACCTGGGAGTTAAATCAGTGCCATGTAACCTTGCAATGGGCTGAATGGCATGGTCTGACAACCTGAAAGTTAATAAAGTCAGCCTCCTCATGTTTATATTAGAAACTAGAGGCCCAGTGTGTGAATTTGTGCACAGGTTGGGTCCCTCAGCCTGGCTGGCAATCAGGCTGATAGGGCTGGTCGGCGGGGGGAAGGGACTGCGGGAGGTTGGCTGTGGGAGTGCACTGACGACCAGGGGGCAGCTCCTGTGTTGTGTCTGCCCCCTGGTGGTCAGTGAGCATCTTAGCGACTGGTCAGCTGGTTTTTCGGTCGCTTAGGCCTTTATTCTATAGATAGGAAAGAATTTTGGAATACAATGTCCAGGACCAAAATATCAAAGCGGGTGAGCATTAGAAAGGGGTGAGGATTCCAGAAAAACAAGTGGGTTTTCAATACAGCAACTAACACCAGGCTGCGCCAGTGACTCCGGCATCCAGGAAAACATCCCACATTTTAATGATTAATTTCTCTCACTCTACAGCTTTACCACCGTACAGACTCAGTCTGAAGCCATCTGTCGGGATTCCCTATAGCATTGTCTTAAATTGAGTGCATTGGACACAGGACAAGGAAAGATCCTTTTCGTCTCTTAACGTCCATCTATGGAATCGCCTTGTTCGACAGGCGTTTGGGGAGAAGTCAGCAGCCCTCCGTGTGGATGTTACAGCACTAACGCCCGGGAACTGCCGCCTGGAGCCCAGGGCCGTGGCACCGCCAGGCGTCCACTCCCCTGCGCGTGAGCACACACTGCCAGGCCTGCAGCCTCGAGTCCCTGTCGGGTGAGCTTTATGCCCAGTTTTCCCTCGCAGCCTCCTGGGCAGCCTCTCAAGCTGCAGCCCCTGGGCCAGTGTCCCCACCACCTGGCGCTGAGGAAGGGAAAGAGCTCCCAGGCCCGCCCAGCCGGAGCCAGGAAAAGGCGGGGCCCAGTGAGGAGGGCGCCGCCCACAGGGGTCACACTGGCTGCTCGGGCTGGAAACCTGGGCTCCGAGGCAAGAGGCTCGCGTTGCCCGAGGAACGCCGGGGCCCTTCCCGGAGCAGGTGCCCCCGTCCAGGCCTCCACGCCCCGGCGCCGCCACCTGCAGAGTCCACAGGCCCTTGCACACGGCGCCATTTCACACGCTTTCCGTCCGATAAGGGTTTTGCAGCGAGCCATGCTCTCCATTAACGTGAAAACACTGACGTGTACTGAACTAAAGGACGGGCTGTCGGGGGGAATGGGGTTATTTAAAATGCTTTGCTGTCACCAAGGCAAGAACAGATACGCTCTGGTTGTCGTAATTTCAGCAGGTTCCTCCCTATAATCAACGCCGAAGGAAATGGGCCGATCCCAACGGTCCAGAACTGGTGCCTGTAGCGACCACAGCCACCCCCACACGGCCCACGACCGAACAGCACAGGCACCAGAGCGCCCTGTGCAGGCGCCTTCACAGCCCACGGGACGGATGGCGAGGGACCGGCCGGCTGTGCCAACAGCCCGTGGTGTGGCCCGGTGACCGGGGGCTACGCCCTTCAAGAACAGAGAGCGGGAGGGATGAGGTGATCACGCTGTGTCCCTCGAGCTCCACACAAACACGTCGGAGTCTCCAGGAGGAGAGCGGTGGGCAAAGCAGCGTGTCCGCCCCTTCCCCCGGAACACACGTACGCAGGAGCACGGCTTATCGTGCGATAGGCTGTGATTATTCTTTTCAAATTTTCTTCACTTCCTCTTGAGAACACGCGCTTCCGGTCCAAGGTGAGGGTCCCTGCGGGAGTCACCAGGCCGGGCTCCCGCGTGCCCGTCTCCCCGGGGGCTTCCCGAGGCCACGCTTGGGGTGACGGCACCAAAGTGACCGGGGATGCAGCCCCTGTGCGTTCATCTTCTGAGATGTTTGTCATGGAAGGAGAGAAAACACTTTTCTAGAGCAACACAGAACTCGCGTGAAAAACCGTATTTCACAGACGCCACTGTCATCGGGGGAGGACACGTTATCTTTGTGATGCAGGTAAAGGCAAGGAAGACGGGCTGTGCACTGGTCAGGTTTATGTTAACAGGGGCTCACGCTACATCCACCAAGAAGAGGGAGAGACATGTCACCGCTGGGGGAAGAAAGCATTCGGCCGAACAAGGAGGTCCCACCTCACACCCGTCCAAATGGCTACCGTCAACACATCAGCAAACGAGAGGCGCTGGCGAGGATGCGGAGAAAAGGGAGCCCTCGTGCACGGCTGGTGGGAATGCAGACGGGGGCAGCCACCGTGGAGAGCAGTATGGCGTTTCCTCAAAAAGTTAAAAATGGAACTGCCATTGGACCCAGTGATCCCACTGCTAGGAATATACTCCAAGAAATCAGAAACACCCATCAGAAAGGATATATGCACCCCTGTGTTCATACAGCACAATTACAACAGTTAAGGTTTGGAAACAGCCCAAGTGCCCATCAGTAGATAATTTAAAAAACTTATTTGGCCAAAACAAATAACTGAAGTATTTGTAGTAAGTTTTTCTGCCCAGCAGCTGGCTAAGGGCATTCAGCCAATCCCACGGGCTGTTCGAGCCCTTAGCGTCAGAGGGGAGGCGGGTCCGTACCTGGGACTGGGCGTTGATGTTAGCGCCTTCCTTGACCAGCACCTTGACGACCTCCGCCTGTCCCGCCAGCGAGGCAATGTGGAGAGCCGTGTTCCCCTTCTGTTTCGAAGAAACAGACAGAAAACGTTACCGCGTCCGCCCGCCGGTGGTAGAAATGGGAGTGCGACGGGCTGCTCCGTGCTGCCGCCGTCCCTGGTGGTCAGACCTGACCCCTCACCACGTGGCTGACCTCGGGGGGAGGGGTCGTCTCCCTTCTGTCCTCAGCCCCGGGGGGCGGGCAGGGGGGAGAGGTGGGCAGACGGGTGCTGATTGGCCCGCACAGGGTTCCGTGAGGCTCGGGCCCCCTGGCTAAGTGAGGACCTTCACGGGAGAGCTGGTTCTGGACCTAAAACGCTACGGCTGCATCGAGGGCCAAAGGGAGCCTTTATTTTAAAACATCAATGAAGGACGGGAAGGAGGAAACTTTTGACAAACATAAGCAGCCGAGGAGGGGTTGGTTTAAGAATACATCACATCGACGTGGCAGCTCAGGAGAAGGGACCTTCAGCATGAGTCTTTAAATGTCGGTTTAACATGTATTTGACGTGGACAAGAGGAAGGTTCATAAAAATGCCAATTTTCTCTTTGTGTCCAAAGTAAGCAAGTGATGGCCTGCACTCTAGGCCCTAAAGTGGAACTACATCTCGACTCCTTTGGATTCGCCAGGGAGTCTTTTGTCTTTAAATTTCCCCTGGAATTCCATACACCAGGCTGTGAGCTGGGCCCCTCTGCATTTTGGCACAAACGCATGAGGCGTCGACAGTCCAAACTAACTCCCCAGATGGAGGCCTGAGTGCCTAGCCCTGACCTTGGCCCTCCCACGGCCCTATCCCCACACCGCTCCCTGTCTCAGACCCTAACACTCCACGTCTCCCCCCCTTCCCCCTTCCCTAACCCTCCCCTAACCCTTTCCCTCCCCAATTCCTACCCTAACCCTCCTCCTAACCCTACCCCTACCCTAACCCGACCCCCAGCCTCTCTCTCTGCATCTCCCACAACACCGTGCTCACACTCCAGCCGAGCAGCAGGCTTGAATCTCACTGGCTACTGTTTTCTGCCAAATTAAAATTCCACCTTCTAAGGACAAAGACAGGTCACCACTGGTGCCATTTTTTTAAAATCACTGTTGTTTCTGAAATGCTCCCCGGTGGCCAGGCTCACACATGTCCCTGCAGAGGCAGCACCACAAGGAGGCACATCCCTCGTCCCAGCCTCTGCGCACGTCCATCCTTAAACCTCGGCCACTCTCCTTACACACCCGGGGCAAGGCCTCATGTTACCGTGACAACTCAGTCCATGACCCCCCAGCTCCCTCCCATCAGCCATAAAGGATTCTGCATCCTCTCTCACCAGTTAGATGGACACATTAAAACACAACAGTGTCATGAAAACTGCTTGTTCTTTCCACTGAGATGCTGACCACATCAATTTACCCTGTAAATGAGTTAACCGCAGGGAAGCAGGTGCTCCTGTTTCTACAGACAATTATGTGCATCTGTCTCTGCGGCCAAGGAGAGAGCCGAGCTAGTGGGAACCACGTCCGTCCGCAGGATTCAGCGTCAGGCCTGGCACCTCCCCAAATGCCGTCGCCCACACTCGGCCGAGCTGCCTGGGAAGGGGTTTGATGGCAGCGCGGCCTTTAAGAACCCTGGGATCCCAGCGGCCCTGGGGTGTGCGCCAGGGGAAGGGGCCGGCGTCGCCGCTCCCCGCGCAGGGCGCCTACCTTGGTGGCGGAGTCCACGGCCGACCCTCTGCCCAGCAGCTCCTGCACCAGCCCCACGTGGCCCTCCTTGGCCGCCAGGTGGAGGGCGTTGAGTCCATTCTGCAAGAGAAGAGATGGCCTCAGGGTGGGCAGGGGTGCACGGGGGCACATGATCCCTGGCCCCGGGTCGCTCTCTCTGAGCATCGGCTCGAAGCTGCTAAGTTCAGAGACCACGTTCCCATGGTTTGATCCAGAGGCAAAGAGGTAAATGCATAGTCATTAGAAAGGGGGATTCGGCAACAGCACGAAAACAACCTTTTCTTTAAAAAAAAAAAAACACAAAAAAAACTAAGACATCCAAATCCTTTCACACTGAAAGAGAAAGAGAGAGAGGAGAGAGAGAGAGAGAGAGAGAGAGAGAGTGGGAGGGAGGAGAGGAGAGAGCAGCTCCGTGTCACTCCTAGTGCCAACCAGACACGAAGCGTCAGCCCTGGGCAGCTTTACATAAACCTGGCTTTGCAGCACCTGGGGGAGAAATGTCCTTTTCATAGAACTCAACGGAAAAGCTAAAGGACCGTTTCGACGCTCACACAGCCTTGCAAAGCCCAGCCTGTTCTTACAGGACCCTGAGCCTGTCCTCTGTCCCTGACTGGCCTGGCATTCCGTTTCAACTTAAATGCATGTTATAGTTTCCGATTGCACTGTGATGTCTGGCTTCCTCTCCCCAGATTCCTAAAGACTCCGTGACTCGCACAGCACGGGGGACGCACGGACGACACCAACAAGCCAGAGGAGTCGGACGTCGGCCCGCTGTCTTCGTGCGCACAGAGAGCCAGGCACGGGGGCAAGTTGCTTTGGGGCAGTTCCCTGTTTGCGGTTGTTGCACGGCTCACGCGGGACGGTTTTCTGCCGGAAGCCAATCCCAGCGTGACAGCAGGGCTGCATCTGGGAATGGCTGATGGCATTTCCCCAAACCTGAATAGGATGCATTAAATTGATTGCTGGCTGCCAGACAGCTCAGGGCATCTTAATCTACATGTTATTGCCTCCTACTGGCCAAACACCTGAACAGCCGTAGGCTAATTCCCTCATTCTGACAGTGGACTCTATAGGAAACCCTGACCCTCTGAAGTGTATATCTCTGCCTCGCCTCAGGACAATTTGTGTTAATAAAAAGCATGGGGTCCTGGGACGAGGAGATCTTAGTTTCCTTTAAACTAGGCTCCTCTGACCCCCAAATGCCTTTCAAAATTATATTTCGTCTCTGGACTCCTATTTAATCTATGCACAGCCTTTCTCCAGATTCCAGAACCCTTCTAAATGCCAGAACAAGAACCTCGGCAGTCTTCTCCTGGCTTTGTATTTGGCTCAAAAACTAAGTGATTTGTTTGTCTTCTTTGCCTAACACGGTGCTCTAACTCGGAGGAGCTGATATGGTTACACTAACGCTTACTCGGGTCGTAAACGGGAGCCCAGCCCTGGGATTGGCTCCTGGAGGTTAACGTAACAGAACAGTACGAACCCGAGTCCTTTGAAACAACAGGCAAATATTCACTGAGCTCTTAGGTGAGCAAGTACCACCTGGTCCTTAAATTCCCGGCAGGCACCTGGCCCTTGGTGGACACTTGTCTGTGGGAGCTTTAGGCCTCCAGCTGCTCTGCTCCCTAAACCCTACCTGCCCAGCGCAGGGTCTGCCAGTCTGTCTTGCGCATTTGAGAAAAGCGTAACTACCTCACAGAACTGCCTTCAATCTGCTGATGTAAATATCGGGAGGAGGCGGTTGAAATACAGGCGTTTCTGGAAAACACCAGGAGATGCAGAGCAAATCCACACCAAACAATAACAGGAGAGTGAAGCTCGGCCCCTGACCCCACCCTCCCTCTCTCTGGGCCCCCAACCGGTGAGGTCTCTCGGGAGCCACGCCCACAGGTAGATGCAGGTCGTTATGAAACGCTGTCGGCAGCGTCACTGCGCCATCGGCATCTGTACGCAAACCACAAACAACCTGTGGGCACAGCCAAGTCCAGATCCTGCCCGGACACCAACCAGCCGCCCGCACCCGCACCCGCACCCGCACCTGCCCGCCTCCCCGTGGTGGCCGCTCGGAGCTCGCGCTGTGGTGGGAGCGAGGGTTTACTCCGCTTTCTGCGGACCAGCGATCGCAAGGCACGCATGTGTCACAGCCACCCGACACCACTGAACTGTGTCTCGGGGTCTCTGGCTGGTTCCCGCGGGCTTCCGATTTAACAAAGTGAAGCAAGCCACGGTGGCCACGGGGACACGTGTCTTATTAGTGAGTCTCCTCACGTGGCCACGGCTTTCTTCATTCCCAGACGACAGTTTGTAACGAGGCACCTACTAAGCCTCTGCCCACTGACACATCTTCCCCGCGAGGCTGGGCAGGTGGTGGCGCGATGGTCATTTCATCGGGAAAAGGTGGCACAGGACCGCCTCGCAGTGCCACCACGTGCGTCCGCCCGGGCCTGCGCGCCCTGCACCTCGGAGGCCACCATCCCTCCCCTGTCCAGTCCCAGCAAACGCTTCCATTCTGGAACCCCCTCGGACACAGAGCGGCCTTGACTGACGGTGAGTTAGCCTGGGGAGGAGAGCAAAACTCTTCCAAACCCTAACAAGGCCAGAGGGACGGAGAGCGAGTGATGACCAATAGCTGGAAACCTGTGTTCACACGGTTGGTCATGACGCAGAAGCAGGTCATCCACGCCAGGCCAAGGCTCATGCCCGTCCGCACGTCTCTACACAGAACACAGAGCAAAGGGAAAGGGTGCACGCAGGGGCAGGTGCTTCTGGTTTATTTTTTGTTGGACTTTCATACACACACACACACACACGCACACACACGTCTCTGTGTTTATGTGTGCATAACTGTGTGCAAGTCTGTGTGTTTTTGTGTCATCTCTGTGTGTGCACACGTGTCGGTTTATGCATGTATCTGTGCACAAACGCCTGTGTCTGTGTGTTTAAGTGTGCACATGTGTCTGTGCATTTATGTGTGCATCTCTGATGTGTGCATGTGTGCCTGTGTGTTTATGTGTCATCTCTGTGCACATGTGTCTGTGTTTATGTGTGTATCTTTGCGCACACACCCGTGTCTGTGTTTAAGTGTGCATGTGTGTCTGTGCACACGTGTTTGTGCACTTATGTGTGCATCTCTGGTGTGTGCATGTGTGCCTGTGTGTTTATGTGTGCATGTGTGCCTGTGTTTATGCGTGCATATGTGAGCCTGTGTGTTTGTGTGTGCATGTGTGTGCATGCGTGCCTGTGTGTGTGTGCGTGTGTGCCTGCGTGTATGTGTGCATCTGTGCATGTGCATGCGTGCTCTGGGCTGCATAAACACTAAGGAAGTTTAGGCAACACCCGGGATGTGAGGGCACCTTGGGGAAAGGAGATGTCCTTCCGGGTCAAGTAGTGACAGCGGCTGCTCTCCAGCTCCTGGGGTGCGGGGTGGGGGGGGGTTATAGTTGCCGGCTTGGATTTCCTGAACTTACTCCCCTCTCAGACGCGTGCCGGATGCAAACAAGCGGAGTGGTGAGGGGCGGAGAAGAGTCCTTCCTGTCGATGATGTTCCCTGAGCCCCAGGCGGCATCAGCCTCACCCCATCCCTGGAAGGTTTCAGGGTCTGGCTCGCGGCCCTTCCTCCAACATGTAGCAGGTGGTTCCCCCAAATCTCGACCGTCAGGCCCCTGTCTCTCAGCCGATGGCCCTTCCTTCTCCCGCCTCGTCCACTCACTTCCATGGTGGGACTCGAGACCTCGTCACTTCAGGGACAGCACCTCCCTCCAGGCCCTTGGCTCCCAGCAGCGACCCACCATCACCACTCACTTTCCTGCCAACCTCCTGGTCCCTGTGCACAGCCCCTCACCCGCCCCTGCGTCCACTCCCTCCTGGTCCCAGTGCACAGCCCCTCACTGGGTGGGAATTCCCCGCGTGAACGTCACCTTCACTCCCTCCCCGGGCCGTGCAGGTGCCCTCGGGCAGCTTAGCTAACCCAGAGCCCCTGCTGCATGGGACTGACTCCGGCCCATGCCCATGCGGCCACAGAAGAACCCACGAGCCAGCCGTGTGCTCCGCGGGGCCCCGCACGACCTGCCATTCCTGCTCTGTAGCCCAGCACTCCCCACCCCCCAGATGGCTCCCTCACACCTTCTCTCCTGCCCATCACCCCTCCATCCTCTCTCAGCTGATGCCCTTGACTCAGATTCCACTGACAAAGCAGAGCAACTATAAGAACCTGCAGCGCCCACCAGCGTGTCCCCTCACTGCCCACCCTCACCCACAGGCCCGCCTTTCCTGGACCCACCGCTTCCCAGCAGAGCCCAGCTCCCACGGGTGCACAGGGAACGGGCAGGATGGGGGCTGGCCCTCACCTGGGGGTGGCGGGGACTGGGATGCATGAGAGGAACTCGTTGGTGCATTTCAGTGACATGCTAAGCCGGTCAGGATCCAGGTGAAAATGCGGCGTTACTGCGAGGATCGTCACCTGCTAACACTCTGAACGCCCGCTCCGCTGGGCACTTGGCGGAATCTAATGTAATCCCGCACAACCCCTGACCTCAGTGTTGCACTTCCCACCACCGAGCACACCGTGTCCAGAGGAGCCGGCTTCCTGGAGCACACAGGAGGAGCCGACTGCCCGGGCACACAGCTGGGGAGGGACAAGGTCGGGACCTGGGCTCCAGACATGCCCTGAGCTCCAGGTCACGGCTGTGAGCAAGTGGTCAAGCCACTGCGGGCGCCCCTCCTATTCAGGGGGATCCATGCTCCTGGGAAATGGTGCGTGGGCCTGGCCGTCCGTCTCTGAGACAGAAAAGCAGGGCGTGACCGACCGTTCTGCCCCTGCACAGCCGCAGGGCAAGGTCAGGCCGGGAACCAGGACACCTGGAGGACTGCGAGCCTTTCGTGTCAGACCCGGGACAGGTCCATGCGATGAGAGATGCCTCCACACGGAGTCACTGCGGACCCAGTACGTCCTCCCACAGGGAACACTGTCTACGTATTGGACGGACGGGCGTGAGGGGCTGTGGTGACCCGTCACTGGCTTGCTGTCAACTTGCAGCCAACTGTCTATGAGAAGGGTACAGAGTCTGTCTCTCACGGCTGGACGCTAACCTCGCTGTGACACCCTTAGATTAGGAACGACCACTGAATATCTAAGAGAAGGACATGTATACATGAGCAAATGCAAACATTCATTCTCTTTTCTGAAAGAAATCCTATATAATAAAGAGGTAATATGCAAACTGACTGTCACACCCTCACACAAGATGGTCGCCCTCATGTGGTCAAAAGATGGCCGGCAGGGGAGGGCAGTTGGGGGCAACCAGGCCAGCAGGGGAGGGCAGTGGGGGTGATCGGGCCGGCAGGGGAGTGGTTAGGGAGTGATCAGGCTGGCAGGCAGAAGCGGTTAGGGGCAATCAGGCAGGCAGGCAGGTGAGCGTTTGGGAGCCAGCAGTCCCGGATTGTGAGAGGGATGTCCGTCTGTGGGGTCGGGCCTCAACCGGTGGTCGGACATCCCCCAAGGGGTCCCAGATTGGAGAGGGTGCAGGCCGGGCTGAGGGACACCCGCCCCCCCAGGGCACGAATTTCATGCACTGGGCCTCTAGTGAGCTAATAAGACACATAAGTTACTAGTTTAATCTTTTCAGGAAAATAACACTTAGCAGATTTGTAACCATCTGGGAAAGAAAAATGAAAACGTGAAGTTTTTTGTTCAGCGGAATCATCTTGCGCCAAATGTATGCATTTTCCCCATAAACCTTAAGTGATTTGAAACCAAATGGTAATTTTGGATTCGCTTTCAAAATTCTCAGAGTCGCTATGAGGCAATTTTATAAAGAAAAACATGTTCGCCCACATTTCAGTCTAGGAAGCTCGGCGCGCCCACGCAGGCACATTCTGGGGGAGCTGGTGCGCCGCCCGCCTTCACTGAGAAACATTGCGTGGGTACAGGGCGACCCGTGAGCTCTGAGCCTGCACCTGGTTAAAAGTAGCCATCCTTTCAACGAGAGCTGTCTTATTGCTTTTCGGGATATATTTCCTGTTCAGTCATGGATTTGGGGGCTGGAGCAGTCCCAGTTGGGGTGCTCTCTGGCCTAAAAGTCCCTTCAACCACCCAGCACGCTCATCTAAGGGTGAATCGAGTTCGTTTTAGATGAGCAATGGGAGATTAAACATGAGACTGGAGCGCCCGGCCGGCGTGGCTCAGTGGTTGAGCGTCAACCTATGAACCAGGAGGTCAGGGTTCGATTCCCGGTCGGGGCACATGCCCGGGTTGCGGGCTCGATCCCCAGTGTGGGGCGTGCAGGAGGCAGCCGATCCATAACTCTCTCCCATCATGGATGTTCCTCTCTCTCCCTCTCCCTTCCTCTCTGAAATCAGTAGAAAAATACATGAAAACATGAGGTTGGAGCCTGAACATAGAGGAGGTGCCCGCTGTACACTTTGAAGGGCAGAGCATCTCGGGGACGTGCTCTCCCGAGGGAGGAAGCGTGGGCAGGGGAGCGGCCAGGGCCCGTGACCCCGGGGACACCTCACGCTCACGGGCTGGGAGTCTGCGCTGTAAACCCGGCGGACGCCGCC